GATGAACGTGTTATCCGCTAATGTTTTTCCATAATGGCGGGCATGTCAATATTCCAGCACCCTTCTGGATGATTGCAGTAGATCAATAATCTGTCAGAGCTTCGTGGTATTTTCAAACGAGTTGGCTCGCTATGCGTAACTCTACGAGAAAGTCACGAAAGCTAGGTTTCCATGAATACCAAAGTAAAGAGTTTTACGCTTGTTATTCAATCCATAATCGTATTAATTTGTCCTTTCACATTTATAAACCGTATTTATGCGATAAATATAATATGAATTTGTCCATGTTCATCCACTGTACAGTCACGTGACCCATTGATGATGACACGTTAAATTCAACGTTCTGCTGTTGTTTGTATTCTTGCGTTTTTATGCCTAGCAACCTTCGGTAACTTCAGTGATTTAAACTGAATCAAACAACGGTATTGTTCAATAAAATACCATAGCATTATCTTTTTTAACGGCGATGATCTTTCCGTCGCGGTTGACTGATTTGAGAAAGGTAATACCGACCCTAAATCAGATAGCAATACATTATTCTAACTTTTTCCATTCACACGACGGAAAAATGGAGCAGGCATTAAACCGTTATGCTACAATATATTGTTTCTTTTAACGAGTTCATAATAGCAAGTGGGGCTTCACCATCAATCTTCGACGCACAGCTATCTTCTGAGAGATGTTTGTTACTTTCGCGATATTTTTGAAACATACTAGAGTAGGCTGTAGAATTTACGTGCCGTTGTCAGGGATGTAAGTATGTCACATGACAGATTTAAGTGTTCCATTTCACCAAATATATAGTTCATGCGCTAGCGTCACAGCCTTGACACCCTAAAATATAGGCCAGATGATATTCACGTGTTTGTCTATTTTAATGCAGCCTTGTGTCCCGTAATGATGTATAGCCCTACGCGTATATCGTAGAATCACAAAAAATGCGACTATTTATCAGTCTTCAGCCAAGGTTCTATTGTGTACTAGGTCAGGGTAAAAGCTAAAAGCTGTCCACATCAACAACACATTTCTTTGTGTCGAACCCTCGCCCAAGCATTACGAGAACAATGTGATTTCAGAACTTTATAAAAACGAGCTATTATTTGAGAATGCACCTGAAATCGAGCGATGACAATTTAGCTGGTCATGACCTAAAACAACTCACCCTATACAGACGCGATCACATGAAATTTGGTAACAAATCCGTCCAGTGTCTGTCAGCATTGAGCCGGATCTGTTCGTGCAAATCCATTATCGAGACACGCACAGACAAGCATTGCTGTCATGGAAGATTGTTAAGTTGTAAGATCGATGTTTTCGGACGCTAGCTAATTAAGTTAAGAAGGCTGTGACCTTATTAGATACACTTTGATTATAACCGTTTCAGATTATCATTTCAACTACGCAGAGATGCGTGTAAAAACATTCATCAGAATTCGGAATATGCAAACGTCACGTTTTTTTTTCTACGAACAGAGCCTTGTTTTTGGAATTGTAATATTTTCTGAACGCAACGACCTATTCACATCACGATTTTGTTCACATCGTCCCAATAATAGTCTTATGAATAAAATGACACCTGGTTTTTATGGTTATCATTATTTATGTTTTTTTCGACGTCCGATTGTCAAAATTGCATATTTATTATCGCCCCAAGATCAAAATACGATCTCTGCAAAATCCACTTATGCATTTTTATAGACAGCGATTCACTCATTCCTCTTAAAGTTATCATACCTGAGAGCCAAGTCTCAAAATGTTCAGCTTCATGGGTAAATACACTTTAACCAAAAGAAAGATTCAACGATTCGGTCCACAGCCTTTAAATAATTATTGATACTATCATAGCTACAATTGACGTGCTTGGGTGGTTTGACGCTTTCATGGCTAGTGTCTAGCAGGAATTAAACGACTCGTAAATTTTAGTGAAAAACAAACTCAAGGTGCACTGCCTCGTGAACGTCAAAAAATACTTGAAAGATTCACGCTGCGCTGTTCATTTATCACACGTTGTTTAATTTGATATTTAGTTTCCTACACCATCTTCCACAACACATTGAACTATCGTCACATAGTAAATTGTTTCCAAAAAAAGCAGCTGTCCAAACTTGGAATGTGTTTCATTGAACACGTTCATCGACGAATTTGGTTTGAAAATACTAGTAATACCCGTTATATGCATATTCTGAATACTGAATAGTGAACAAATTAAGAATGAAATAGAATACGCAAATGTAAATTTGTTTTTCGTATTTCATTACAGAGGTATAAATTACATAAACAAATATTATTTTAAAAAGTAGAAACTTCGTTATGTCTCGGGCTGTACGAGATCAAGAGTGTCACGAGTTCATTGTCACGCCCAGGGCCACATACAGAATGATTGATAAATAGTTGACGGAGGATAGCGGTGTACTTTTATTAATTCTGAATAATGTACACCGTCACAGTGATTGAACACACCGCTATGAACCATAGTTACAAAACACAAACACCGTTGTACACCGTGATCTATTCATTGATGAACGTGATGCGTTTGTTATTAGTGTATAAAAGAACGATCTCTGCACACACGTTAAAAGTGCACGACTAGAGCTGACTCAGCCGCGCAACATTCCTCATAATGTAAGTATTCTTTTGTCTAACTCTATTTACTTTCTGTTTTAAAACATATTAATTAGGGGATTACTAAATCCCCTATCTAAATTACAATTGGTATCAATTGGTGTTTCAGTGCCACTCTTTATAACTGAATAGAGAAAACGAAATTTTAATAGCACTAAACTTTATCCGATGGAACGAAGCCAAAATCCTTTAAAATATTTCAGAAAATAAGTAAAACTTTAAGAGATTACGTTTAGCACTGCGCTGTGATTGGGCAGTTAGTAATAATATACGAGGTGATCAGTAGTAACTGAGCGCGTCTGAAACGCATTTAGTACATTGTGATTGAACGTTCAGTATCGTTTATACTTCTATTAAGTTTTCAACCAAACACTATCATTGTTTGTATGACCGGGGAAGCCGCCAAAGAAAGTAAGTAACTTTATCGACGAGAAATCGAACACATACGTATCTTATTTATTGGCTATTTTAACCAAAACGTTAAAGTTGCAGAAGAAATAGTCGCATATAACTACTGGTTAGTTTCAAGTAAATTCCGAACTAACGCAAACAATAGCGTTTCCATGTCAACAGACATCACGTCATTAAAGTCAATGGCAACAGCTAATTAAGGCCTGTCTTGTGCTAACAATTTGTGTGTTCTCATGTAGCACAGGGTTTGGATATCAGTTTAATTTGTGATATACTTTGAATCTCTTCTCACAGAGGGAAATCGTTACATTGATTCAGTTGTCGTTGCTGTAGACAGTCGGCAAGTTTGAGAGGACTTTCACAATTCGTTGTTAATAGAGGTTCCAGCAACTATTCTGTATCGAATCATCATTGTTGGTGCCTGGAGGGAAAATGCTTTATTTTTTTAATATGCTCTTGTGACTGAGAAAGCAAAGTAATTTAACTGTTTAAATTTAAATGTTACAAGTGAAATAAGATTTTGCTTTTCTCCAATATTGTTTCTTCTGGTGTATGCCCCCTCATGAATACAGCTAGGGACGAAAGTTTTCAAAACTCATGGTTTTTTTTTTCGACGACAACTTATCATCTAAATAGAGCGTCTAATGTGTTACTCCGGCGTGTGCAACCATCTGTCTTGAATAGTGACTTATCTGAACTTAATATGTTAAACATGCAACATGTATTTTTTTAACAATTTTGTTTGATATTGCATGTTGGTGAATATATTGGACTATGATACAACGCTTTTCTTGTAGCGCATATCTGAGTTTTTGTTCGACGAAACAACGACTTTCTTCAATACGCATGCGCACTGCTTTAATACGTGCAATATAGTCAATGCTCATGCGTTTTTGATTTCAATCTTATATAATGAAAACTCTTGTGTGTCTTGCAAACGCTAGATTTTTAGTTTATGATACATCATAATAGGATTTGGTCCCCAGTATGGAGTATCGAACAGCAATACTAGAAAATATATGTATAAAATATAAATATATAGGTGTTGATGTGATCGTACATTTGTATTGATTCACTATGAATACTATAACTATAGCGACGCACTGATCGCATTATAAAGCAGCCAGAATATTATATGTGCTTTTTTACGCCCCCCTGCTTCATACACTAGACAGTTTTGTTTGATACATGGAGCTGACGTACAGCTCTGTAATTCTGGTGCACTACTGTGTTTGTCTCTATTAATGTTAATTGAACTACTACTGTGCCCTACAGAGATTCAGAATACTATAATTTCTGTTATCATACATGGAACGTTCGTGTTCGTGCTCTCCAAAATATGACCGCCGTATTCGGCGACTCGTAAAATACGAAAATACTTTTACTGTGTGGCCGGAACTATTTATTTGGTATCACTGCGGACGTTTAAAACTCGGCGACGATGTATTTCAATGTTGTTCTTACAACTTTTCACGATCATTAATCGACAACTATGTATTCTGTGTACTTTCTTTTAGGTCTTGCGTTTTACTGTTGACTAAGTACGAGTATCAAAACAGAAAATGTGATAGTTTGCGGTGATAAAACATTGAACAAACAAACTACCGCATTACGTTTGAAACGTTATGTTATAATAACACACCAATTGACTGCCCTCGTTAAACAAATTAAAAATAATAAATAAACAAATAAATAAATAAACAATAAATAAAAAATATATAAACGCATAACCTCATATATAGGGTGTCGCTTTAATTGAGTAATTGAGTTGATTTCCAATGCATTATCATGGTAGATAACTTCCCATTGCTTATAATGGCAAAGTCAAATGCATTTTTTAAAAATGTTTTACTCAAGTATGCCTCGTTTAAAAAAACAAATTTAATATATACATTATGCATGTTTATTTTATCGTGGTTTAAATATTGTACACAGTTCATATAACGTTATGTTTTTACTCATTGCAGATTGATATGGCTGTGTTTCACTTTGATGGTTTTATGTTTTTACTAGTTTTTGCTTCAACTGTAACAGCACAAAATTGTGGTAAGTGTTATTTCTTTTCTTCTACACACTTACTGTTCTTTTTGAAACCAAAAGGGTTCTGCATTCAAGTTCGTTAGTGTTATAATTTACTAAGTGTTCGCCTGGCATTGTCGACATTCCCAGAATATGGCACTGATCATTGGGCTATTTCGGAAGCCATGTTAACGTTGTGTTCCGAAGTTTGTTCCGAATGGCGCCATTTGACAGTAATCTAGACGTTCTATCGATCTTGCAATTATCAAATCAGAGAATGTTTTACACATTCAAGCTGTTTCAGGTACTCCTGGCGGCCAGGGATGTGTTAAACACCCCCAATCCACCTAGCATGGATGAATCTATATTTTTTTGTCCTGTTTCAAACTTCACAGAAACTGTGACGCCTGGACTCTTTATTGTTATCATTGACATGTTGTGAAATCGACAATAATTTTCAATTTTGTGACTTTTTTTCTGCATCTTGCCAACTAATGAAACTTTATGCATAACTTCACTATACAATACAATACAATACATATAGAAAGACTATAGGTTTATTTTCTTTCAGATTTAACCGTTAAGGATATGAATTTTGGTGACCCGAATCCAAACACTGATACCATTCGGTATGTCACAGATGTAGATACAACAGTAGACATATTCTTTGCTTATGTTGGGAATAATGGTCCGGACAACCTCCCAGCAGGCACTGCAGGGGAACACTTTGAAATCAAGATGTACATATCTGCCCTGGACGACTCTGGTAATATGGATGACCCGGAAGAGGTGACTACATATATCAATGGAGATTCAAAAGTCGACGAGCTTCCTGCATCAGACGAAAAATCATACGCCAGTAATGGTTTCACTATTCAATATCATTCATCAAAGTGTTCTACTCACAGTCATTTATGTCTTAAGATTGTAAAGAATGGAGTATACACTGATAATGATCCTACAAATGACTTTCAATGTTTACCATTCGTTAAAGGGGCATCTACAGCGGCTGTAGGATTGACCAACTGCCAATCAGGTACAATATTTTTTCGTTATACTTCGTTATGCTTAATAACCGAATTGATGTTTACGTGTTTACTATAATTAGACGTAGTATTTACCTTGCCGTTTATTCGGTGTTATTTGCTTACTTTACTTTCTACGTCTACAGCAACTATGAGTTTACAATTGTTTCTCAGTACTAAGTATGTGTAATATAATCCTGAGTGTATTTTACTATAAAATGTATTATATTTAGTTACAATTACATTTTCAGGTATAATTTATTAAATTAATCATTCATTTATGTTTTCAGACGTTATTCCAACATCTATCAGTGTATCTGACCCAAATCCGGCAAATTTCAGCTCAAATGAACCCGTCAATGCTACCTTCAGTGTTAACCTTCAAAACGCAGGTGGAACGAAAGTACCGGGATCAACATCAACCTCGGACAACATCGCATTTTCCATCTTCATTGCTGATACAGTGAGTGAGTCTGCATCGATAAAGAGCGACCTCACCGACTCGCTAGTGTACACATGGAATGACGTCAGTACCGGTATAGATGAATGGGGAGAAGTGGCGTATGATAACTTGAAAGTGACAATAGCCATCCCGGTATTGGATTGTGACCAATATCAGTATTTGTGTATAGTGTTCGAAAAAGGTGGGTGTATACTAGTAGCATATTGTTATCAATGGTTGTATTTATTTATTTATTTATTTATTTATTTATTTATTTATTTATTTATTTATTTATTTATTTATTTATTTATTTATTTATTTATTTATTTATTTATTTATTTATTTATTTATTTCAACTCTCCCGATTATGTTGTATAACAGGCCACTAAAAGGAGGTCTGAAGTCGTATCAATTATTCCATTGATACTCTAAATTACTCATATACCATAACTGCGACTTGCCTGGCCTAGCATATATACCGTTGTTCTACTCGCTAACGCGGTATAGCTACAGCGCCAGTATATCTCATTATCTATTCAAATTTATGCTAAAGACACCCCCCCCCTACATTATGCGGTGTCATAGGCAATCTTTGAGTTAATTTGCCTATTTAAATGCTGCTCAGAAGGAATTCTCATAAATCTATTCCCATAATCACGTGATTTCATATAATTCCCATTGACATTCAAATAATTGATCAAATCCTAACGACCAATAATTGGCTAGAATTAGATTTTCAAATCGTCGTACATAGGCGTTGCTGGAGTGACGTATTACGAGTGACGTAAGCCATGGCATGTCTAACATGCCTACACTATGACTAGAAATGACGTAGTTATTTTATTAGAAACGACGCATGTTATATTATATTACCATTATATTTAGTTGAAACAATTTCACAGTTAAAGTAACTTTGGCCAGGGTCGAAAATCTAAAGATATGGCGTTTCAGAGTATCCGTATTGAATCAGATATGTAGTTTTGTCTGGACAACATGAAACCCCGTTCTGTCTCGATGATTAGCCACACGTAAAATCTGCGAATCTGTGAGGACTTTATGTATCAACTAAACTGTGGTTTAGAATTTACGCCCTCTTTCGGTACATAATAAAATACTCGTCCTGGGCCAAATTTATTTTAGTTTGGTGCTACAAATTTGCAGCGATTGAAAGACTAACAACCTGAAAACAAAGGACCATCCTAGAGTACGCCTCTCTATTCTGAATGGGTATCTTTATATATAAACTCGCTTACCCGATTATGTGTATCTTTTTGTCGTAAAAACTCACAACGTACCCCCTCTTGCGTGGATTGTCCTATCATAGTAAGCCTTTCGTTTACGTTTTATGTCAATTAAAACGTTCAAGCTTGTTCACAATGGTGTTGCGAAAAAAAATCTTCCCTTTATTTACCAATTAACAGTGACAATTAACAATTTAATGTAACAATAATGTGTTTAATTGTTATCTACAGGTGTAAACGCGGCTTTTGACGACGATGAATCGAATAATTTAGTATGCATTCCGTTCAGTGACTTCGGGAGCATTTCTTGCCCAGTGCGAACCACCACTGCCCCAGTCCGTACCACACCTATAGCCATTGCGTCTACATCTAAAGTCATTTCAACGACTGGAGGAGCGCCAAATGTGACTATGTCCGAGGGAAACACTGGTATAGTGAACATCCATGTCGGGGTTGTTGTGGGTATTGCTCTAAGTTGTGCCGTTGTTGGCGCAGGCCTCGCATTTCTGGGCCCAATTGTAGTCAAGAAAATTCTTGTGAAAATCAACACAAAAAAAGTAGACATTACAGACCATACACCAGATGATAAAACACCAGTTAAGGCGACAGATATTAAACCGACGCCAGACGGCAATGCTAATGGTGGAGCTGTATTAACGGAACCATGACGTCATGTATGTAAAGCATACCAAGGACACATGCGCATTCCATGAACTCAATATGAGATATATGAAATGACTGAGTTTTGGGCGTTTTCTTATATGATGAAACGTGGTGCGAACCTTTCCGACATTTACAATTTTTCATTGCGAGATTCATTCAACCTCAGACTTGTAATACATTTTTTATTACTAGTCTGAGATTCAACATGTGAGTGGGCCAGTGAGTGGCAGGTTACGCCTGCTTCCATTGTGTTAGATGATCAGTTTGAGATTTGGGAAGTATTAAACATTGATTAACTACAATTTGCTACAGTTTTCAACGTAGAATTTGTGTTTGTTTTGAATCATGATAACATATTTCTTAACATAGTATTAAGTTCTTAACGTGACTTATATTTAGTAAGATTTCCATTACGAGGGAAATGCAACACAAATGACTGCATAAGGTTGCAGCCAGTCTGGATAGGGGTATCATGATGGTCCCTTGGGGGCATTTCAAGGTACATCGCTGTCGCGGTTCAGTGCACGGTGGTCGCTAACAAAATGCAGAAGATTGTCGAACTACGTAACTACACGGTTTTGATGATCACGGAGATAAATATAATATTTTGCGAAAAGAGTGAAATTTGCAAATACTGCGAATTTAAGTTTTCTCTCCAAAAAGCGGAAATCGGTATGATGACTCGATTAAACAGATTGTTGACATTGCTAGACATGGTTTTCGTCGTACAAACAACACTGCACGGCGTTTAGAAGATAATCAAAGATAATTTTGCGTCAACATTTGTCAATGACTTGAGGTTCGCACTACTAATATGATACTAGTACACATTTATATAATTATTGTATTCTATATTTAAGCCCGATGTGAGATGGAAACCATATTTTCGTCGCTGATTATAATTTATTGTAAATGTAATAGTCATTTATTGACAGATATCATGTTTTTCAAGAGTAATCAACATAAATATTTGCCTTATTGTGTCAAGTTTCCGCTACAATAGCAATCTTTGTTATGTAACCAGTTTAAATGTCATATGTATTTATTACATTCGCATGTATTAAAATATTTGTTTTTTTAAATTCTACTATTAATTGTTGAGCGATTCAGTGATTGTTATTAAAACTAAAACCCATATATACTGTGCAAAACGATGTATTGCTTGATGTCCAAATGCGTAATCGCAACTCACTGTCAAAATAATTTGTTTTGTTTAATGTTTCCCTCAAGGTAACTCGAAGTTTGGTTAACGGGTAATTACATTTTAATTTGATAAATTTGAACGTTAAACATATATCGAAGTTCGAAAATGGGCGTGATCATTTTTGTAACTCGATTTATACGTGTTAAATATATGTTACAATTACATAATAGAACACAATATGTTAGTGTTCACATCATGCAGGTAAGATCATTGTTATCTTAACGTCAGAAGGGTGATGGTGGTGGTTTCGGGTGTTAGGTTAATAACAAATGGAACAGAATCACGACGACTAGAGGATTAAATTTCCGCTACCGTCCGGTGTATCTAAATTCGGGATATTGCTACTTCCATGGAACGTTTTTATTACACGTTCAGAACACTTTCCTGTAGTTAAGATTTCGTTTCGTGATATAATATACTAAGCGATGATTTTTTATTATTTTATATTGATGGATTCACGTATAAATAAAAGACCACGTGCTACTTATTATTAATTGTTGTTATCACTATTGTCAGAATAAATGTATTTTATGACATCATAGCTTTACGTTAACACACGGCAAACCCAGTAATTTATAACAACAATAATGAATAATGAGAATATTGTAGACGCGATAGACGCTTCGTTTCACATATAATCTAGCCAATCATGTAGACTCTTCGTTCGTCTCCTCCTCCAATATGGAGCTGTAGGGATTCGTCATGGGCTACGTCTCGCCCTCGCAAACTTCCACAATGATCAGAGCTTATTTCAATTATAGTAGTAATCTGAGAAAAAACTAAATACACATATTGTCAGCGTGTCGTAGATGCTTACATTTTAGGCCACGAGCAAATACAATGCGAAATTACGAAAATAACCATATATTAGTCTACCTGAACAAATATTGTTGAGCTTGTTGTTAAAAAATTTGGGAAACTTTGAGTTGCACACATACACATATTTTTGTTTTCGTGTGCTCGTGCATTGACCTCGAGTGTACGTGCTACCGATCGACAAATGAAGATTCGACGTTTCAGTGAGATACAGCCGTGTTATCATAATTTTTAATAGCGCCCGATAAACTGAGAATAGCTGCGTGTTCATGGGTGGTGTTCATTTTTGCATATGAATGAGAATGGACCCTGGGCAAGGACGCTTATGCTTGGACAGACTACAAATTACTATTATAGTGGTAAGAAATCGATGTGGACGGGTACATGTAATAAGAAGAATATCACAATTCGTGACTCATGATATCATATTTAGCAGAACTCTTTACGTCATTTTTAACGCTTTCCGACGCGTATTTTAAAGGTACTTTCACTTCTTTCGTAAAAAAACGTTTTATGTATATCCCGCATTAAACTGGATAATCCCACTTCTCGTGAAGGCCACTCTCTAAATGTCCATCGTATCGCTGATGCTCACTGACCCCGGGCGACATCATCGACACGCTCTACGCCTTTTTATCCAATTGAGCGCGTGTTCGATTTGTTAATATTACCGCAAATTTCATCAAACTGTTCGTTTACCAAAATAAATATGTAAATGGCACTACGGGGCGCCATATGTTGAAAAAATATATAACAGAAAACTGTCATTAATAATAATTCTTGGCATTTTTGTGTAAATTAAAGAAAAAAGAAAAGGTTGTCCGTTTTATTCCTGTACGCGTACCAAATTCAGTAGGCGTGATGCCAGACTACGATAAGGGCGCTATGTCTGCAGGACCAACACCGGGACCAGTCAGATCGGCGAAGGCATTTTGTGCAAGACCGGAAAAGAAAGTAAAAGGTTGGAGAAGAGCGTTGAGGTCACTGTTTCGTCGTTTGATAGGACGTGAGACGAGAGTCAAAGAGATTCACCTGAACAGCGGACATTGTGAGAACAAACCAGAGGAAAATGCCCATCTAGGGAACGACGATGTATTACTTTTCCGTCCAGACAATCCGCCTCCTGTCGCTCATACACCAACTCCATTGCCGTACACACCGCCACCAACGCCTGAAAATAGCTTGCAGCCTCTCAATATAAACAGAATACCAGCCTGGTACAATTCAGAACCACTTCCTAACTTTATAGTATATGAAAATGCATGTTTGTGTTGAATTCCAGGTTATTCCACAAAGGCTTCGGCTGAACTACATCGTCTGTAAAGATAATCAGTGTGAGGTTTGATACGTTCGTTGTACGTACTAGTATACATATTGCAGGGTATTCAACTGCTGAGAAGTGACGACTGACAAGCGTTTCCGGGTTGTATGTAAATACTCGTTGTCAATGATTGACCTTTGACGAGGATGTTGACATGCACTTCACCTGGCGACTTCTTTAACGCAGAGACGTATTTGTTACCAACCAAAACTCTTCCGGACCTTGATGAGAAAGTAATGCTGATTTTGCTTATTCTACAATTTACAGAATGAGTCATGAGTGTAACGTGGATCAGACGGTGAGGGCGCCACTTTCTGAGTGTTTGCTAAGATTGTACAGCGTTCCATCGATGAGTTGCGTGCTAAGAAGTCACGAATTGTAATGAAATGAAAGGAAGTTTGACAATACAACGTTAAGATTTCCTAAGGTTGAAAGAATTGGTTCATCATTAAGAGTCAATAATTTCACAATAAAGCTTGATTATGAACATGTCAGCTGTTTTCTGTGAACTTTTTGTCAGTAGTCCGTTATTGTTTTCTACTTATGGACTGAGTCTCATAAATTATGTGCATGTGTTGCCGGTGAAGTGTTTCAAGTACATTTATAAATGACTGTGTTACTTATGTACTTATGTTTATATTTATGGAATTATTATTTTACTTGAACACAAATGAATGATTCCAAATTGTTGGAATCAAGATCAATTTACGTTCAGTGTGGATTTTCCATATATTTAAAACAGGTGGATTATTTGTGATTCATATAGTAAAGCTATGTTATTCACAAGTGTTGACGTAACTTTTTTTACCATGTCGGTGGCGTTGTTGGTATTGTTCCGGGTTGCACTATCGTGGGTAATGGTGACTAAAGTTTTAGCACGTGGAACTCAAACGAAAGTAAAAAAATAATACAACGACTGGGAAACCCCATCGTCCGCCTGCACGGTGTTGTTTCGTTCGGATATTCGTCCCTCTACAACACCGTGCGGTAATTCTATTCATAACCGTGTATGTCACGTGGTTGCGCGATAGAAAGTTTACCGACCAATAGAAAGC